AGGTTGGAACCCCCAACAACCTGCTGAGGCTGGGGTTGTGTCTGTATCAGAGCAGGGGGAACCATTTGCTGGCCTTGGTTAATCCTTTGGATTTTTCGAAGCACTTTCAGGTTGGGAGGTGGCGGTCGAGGAGGGGCAGCAATACTAGCCTCGCTCAGCCGACGAGGATCCTGTTGCATCACCGCACTGTGAGTCGGCATCACAGGAGGAAAGAGTTTTCCGTGCTGATCCACTCTGAACACCCCTACTGTATGAGCTCGGGGCCGATGTCCACCTAAGACTGATTCCAGGCTTCTAGTCATAGCTGAAGACAAAGAAAAATATTTTGTAATGTGTAAACACTATCAAGTAGATTACATTTATACACTAGTCAGTCAATTGAGACAAAAAGCAGGGCAAGTGCTGCTTATTGCTCTTCAGAAAACCAACATATTGGTTCACACATTAATCATTTTCCCTTCATACATGCATTTCCTTAACTGCTAATTGAATTCAAGGTTGTGGTGGTGCTCGATCATCTACCAGCTATCACAGATCACCAGTCTCTAGAATCCCCAGTTAATCTAACATGCATGCATTCAACACAGTCCTCTTTGGACTGTGGGAGAAAGCAGTGGAAGTATCCAGAGTGAGCCCACAGAGGCACAAAGACAGTATCCAAACTCCACACAGCACTACCGTGATTCCGCATTCCAGCTCCTACCAAGCTTCCTGATTGAGCCACCAGGGGGCAGAGTTGCTAAACAAAAGGGAGCAATTTCTGGCTGACATGAATTTGAAGCTTTATGAAAGAAGTCTAAACTCTTAAGAGTTAAGATTGCATTTGCAAATAAATGAAAACATAATTGTACAAATATAATAACACATATATATGAAATGATCAAGTCTTGCCTTCAGCCTTGTAAAAAAAACCCCTGCAATATTAACATAATGACAGTCTATTCTATTTTTTATGCTGACTTTGTATTTCTCAGAGCTGTACCTGGTGGTTTTGATCACTACATTTTAAACCCACATGTATTCTTAGTTCCTACCTGCCATTTTCTGCAGATTGGATCCCTCCTTCTCCCTGCTGGGTCCTGACCTCCAGCCGCCACCAGCTCTGCACACATCACCACAGTAAACGCATTAGACTGACATCTTTAGTTTACAAAATATATTAACTAAAAACAGGAAACAGCTGAGTGCTGTGCTTATCATTGTACAATAAAACTCAGTGACTCAGGGACCTGAGATGGAAATGTACATTTATATTTTTTTCTTTCCATGACACAAAACTTGTCAGTTAGAATAACTCTGAGAGTTATCACTGAAACCTCTTTTTCACTGCCTTCTAGGACCTGATTTTGTATCTGGTCAACACATTATGAAGAAGCAA